TCGTACATATATCAAATGCTCCGTAATATAAAAGTTGGCACTTGGTAGGCGTTTGGTTTGCATATTTTAAGATAAAAACCAGGAATGATTCTCAGTTCAACACTAATGTATTCATTTTCCATATTTCAAAATTAGAATTAAAAAAAAAAAAATTCTTTTACCACTTTCGTTCATTACTATATTTCAAGTCATATTTCATTCTTTGTCCTAAAAACCTTTTTTTTTTCTTTTAAATTTGTAGAAGTCATTTTCGACTAAAAACTATGTAGTTTCAAGCGGCCTTCACTTAAAATAATAATAATAATAATAATAATAAATAAATAAATAAATAAAAATTCTAAAATCACATAGTAAGAAAGAAAAAGAAAGCTTCAAGCAAGGAAGGAAAGGACCACAAGTCGTTCTCCCGTTCCCTTAGTTTTTTTTTTTTTTTTTTTTTTTTTGAATGCTACTAGCTCTATTACATTGTAGTATCTGTTCATATACTTTCTCAACCTACTGAAACACAAAGAGCTAATAACGCCTCCACTGAGGCTCGAACTCACAACCTTCCAAATGGAAGTCCAACCCGGGTACCATTGGACCACATAGTCCTGGTCCCGTTCCCTTAGTTAACTTAGCAATTTTTTTTATTTTTTATTTTTTAAGGCAGAGCACATATCTAGGTGAATTTCGATTCAATAAGTTTTGAAATATCAATTATTTATTTTAAACTTTGATTCTTATATATGTTGAAAAAATAGCATAAAATGACATTTTAAGTGACTATTTTGTGGTATAATTATTAGTGGGGTCACTTCCGATTTGAGTCAGGTCAAAGTAAATTTGGTTTTTCGTAGTGAGACAAAAAGATTGATATATTTTACGTTCAAAATGGATAATGGATGAATGAAAAATTAATTCTCAAAGTAGACTCATTTGAGTTGGAAAAAGAAGATAGAAAAGCCCCACATTGGTTTGAGAAGTGGGTTTGCACCACTATTTATACAAGAGCATTTTTAAAACTTATTGAATTGTATAGCATAGATGTTCTCTCTCTTGCACAAGGAAAGGGTGCTAATTAAATAAATCCCAAAATGAGCATAAAAAATATGGCTAGCCTTGTGGGCTAAGTTAGGTATGAATTATAGAATTAATTTTCACCTCTCAACTCGGGAAATTATTGTGTGATGGTCCACACAAAGTTGTGTGGACCATAACAAAAAGTACATTTTTAATATACTAAATGTACCTCGGGAAATTATTGTGTGATGGTCCACACAAAGTTGTGTGGACCATAACAAAAAGTACATTTTTAATATACTAAATGTACCTCGGGAAATTATTGTCTGGACCATGGTCCACACAATGTTATGTTGACAATAACAAAAAGTACATTTTTAATATACTAAATGTACATTATACAATATAATGTACACTCAGAACAAAAATAATGTGCATCTCTAGAATACAATGTACATTATTTTTGTACTGAATGTACATTATTTTTGTACTAAATTTACATTATTTTACCGTAGACAAAATATAGTCCACACAATAATGATTGAAGTATTACATTTCATCTTGACCTGACCCGTCTCACGAACAAGAATTCGTGAGATGGTCTCATACAAATTTTTGCTATAAATATAAATATAAATATATATATATATATATATATATATATATATATATATATATATATATATATATATATATATATATATATATATATATATATATATATATAGGGGCGATCAAGTGTAGCCATGTTGTTAGATGTGGTCATATGGTCAATTACATGCCATTAGATTAGATAGATCCAATGAATCACATTAATCAAGATTCTTCCAGTATTTTCGCGCATGTTCTCCTACCCAGCGAACTGCAAGGGTAAACTCGTCATAGGGCACCGGAATAAGGGAAATCACATTGTTGTGTGTTTTATTTGTGTAATTAGTGCATTATTAGCCTTACTCTGGTGTATTTGTAGATTCCCATTGGTGCCAAGTTCAGGTACAACAATGCCTTCCCGTGTGGTCAGTGCGGCCGCACCAATTGTTATACAAACATACACCATCCACGTTATGAAATGCACAACAAAAAATATACACAAATTAGGTACGCATCACCAAAAATGCGCCATTAGATATGAATAAATACACCATACAGTGTTCGGGAATACACTATTGGTGCGTTTCACTGTGGTGTGTTTTATTACACTATTGGTGCATGTTGTCAACACTGTTGGTGTATTCTGGAACCCGACCGCTATAAATGACCACTGTAATTACCATAACACCCCCGCTTACCAAAATGCGCAAAAATCCTCAAATCATCATAATTAGCCACTGCCGTTAGATTAAACTGATTCAACGACACAGATACGACCACACCTCCACACCTAATGACATGACCACATATGAGCGCTCATATATATATATATATATATATATATATATATATATATATATATATATATATATATATAATTAATTAATATTTAATACACCGACGATGTATATACATTTACAGCTAACCACAAAGTGACATATAATTCAAGAGCAATTATAAAATAAAGAAACTTTTATTTGCAAATAAATCATAATTTGAAATTTAATATATTTATTAATTAATTTAATATAAGAACTCTAATTCTCTTTACTAAAATTTCAAACCCTAATTAATCAGAACATCTCCTTTGTCTCCTAAAAACCTCTCATCAAAACTCTACATCTTTGTTCCACTTTGACCACTTTTATTTTCCTCAGACGATACACATTTCATAATTTTGAGATGCCTACATATGAATGTGTCTAAAGGAGTCTTTTGATGGAATGCTTTTGGATATATATGAAAAGAAATATGCATAACTACTGCGGTTCCCACTAAAGCAATACAACCATGTTTGAGACCTTTGCATTTTTATTTTTATTTGTTATTATTAATGCTTGGGAAAAGTGTCAAATTGGTCCCCTAAGTCGACCGGATAGTGTAATTGGGTCCCCTAACTAAAAAAAGTTCCATTTAGATCCCCTAAACCTGTAAAATTGTTCAATTAAGTCCAAAGTGACTTGTTTAACAGGTTAAATCTTCACATTGTTGACACGTGTCATTTTAAAATAATTTTTTTGATTTTTTTATAAATTTTATTTATATATTTATTAAAATACATATTATATTAAAAAAAAATTAACCTTCTCAAATGCTTTTTAGCAAATATGTATTTTAATAAATACAGCTAATTTTAGATAGTCAGCCACCGGTGGCTGAGTTTTTTTTTTTTTTTTTTTTTTAAATATAATATGTATTTTAATAAATATATAAATAAAATTTATAATAAAAAAATCAAAAAAAATATTTTAAAATGACACGTGTCAACAATGTGAAGACTTAACCTGTTAAACAAGTCATTTTGGACTTAATTGAATAATTTTACAGGTTTAGGGGATCTAAATGGAGTTTTTTTTTTAGTTAGCAGGGAACCCAATTGCACTATCCGGTCGACTTAGGGGGCCAATTTAACACTTTTCCCATTAATGCTTTAATCATCGACATCCTTCAATAGATTTGAAATCGAAAATAATAAAGAAGATGTTGGAGAAAAATACCAGGAAGAAGCTAAGAAAGTAAAGTGTAAAATACAAGAATTTTACTACATGGACTCTAAGAAATGGGTATCAAAGTGATTGGTATTGTTTGATTGATAGGTTTTTAGAACATTATTATGAGTTTCAAATGCTCACTTACTTGAAAAACTCATACCCAAATAAAATAAGAGTATCATCCACTTTGATTAGTGCTTTTAGATTTTTTTTTTTTTTTTTTTTATTCATATTGGTGTTTTGAATGTCTTTATATTAGAATCCATTATCTTGATTTTGTGTTCTTGTATTTTAAAAATCTTTATTCTCATTATTGGATCATGCATAACCAAACAACATTATTGATAATCATTCTCATTCCACCCTACTATCAAACATGCAAAATACTTTCACTAAAACCCATTACCATTACCAAGTATTTTATACCCATTCCGATTACGATTCTCATGTGCAAACCAAACACACCCTAAATCTCTATTCCCTCATTTTTATGATAAGTTATCTTCATCCTATGATTTTCAAGAAAAATGTTTTTAAAATAGAGAGTAAAGGTTAGAAGTAAAATTGAGGAGTTCAAATAGTATTTTCAATATATACAGTTCATTGATTTTTTGGATTTGACTGACTCTATTACAATGCAATATCTGTTCATAACTACTTTCTCAACCTATTGAAGCACAAAGAGTCAATAGCACATTCACTGAGACTCGATCTCACAACCTCTCATATGATGGAGCACTTGGTGCCACTGGACCACAAGGTTCTTGGCATGATTTTTTATATTTTTTATTTAAAAAAAAAACTTTTTAACTTTCTAATTACTTTTTAATGATGTGTCACTTTGTGATTAACCACACATGTATAGATATTATACCGCACCAGTACATCAAATATTAATCATATCCATATTTATCAAACTCAATCTTGCAAAAGTTTTACATTTAAATTCGACTTACTCAAAGTCAAAACAAATGAAAACGAATACTCACTGAACGGATGTAATTAAATTGACATTTCTAAGTTTTTTTTTGTGGCGAGGAAAACCCGTAACCATTATCTAGAAATGTGAATGAGGTAAATTTCAAGTCGTCTACAACTTACTAGCTCAAATCAAGAATGACTATAGTCCACTTCTGCTAAGAGTTGAACTTGTAAGTTGTAACCTTATAATTACCAAATCAAGAATATGATCAATTTGACTGGTCTTCCCACGCCCACACTTCTAGTCTCAACCCTAGCTACTTTGTTATGAACCAAATGCTACCTTGTTTTTTATTTGGTCCAGCAGGGTTGAATTGTCAATGCAGTTTTAATACAATTATTTTGATATTTATGAGAGGCAATTAAGTAATTAAGGGCAGTGGGCATGCCCAATATAGTAAACTACAATCAATCAAAAAATAAAAAATTTGTGATTTTTTAAAAGTGCATTAAGAAAGCCAGTCCGTGATATCTGCTTCGCCGGACTTCCCATTGGCGACTAGCCTAGCTTACTACAGTTTTCCACTCCCCCATCCCCACCGCCACCTTCTCCTCCGCCTCCGCCGCCGCCTCCGCCACCTTCCCTTCTCCATTAATAGGGAAAAGTAGTGTTTTCTGTATCTTTTCACTGTTTACTCCTCTGTGTCTGAAGATTCTGTTTCACTGGTTTTCATCGCTCTTCTGTTTTGCCTTCACCTCTTTTCTGGGATTCATAATTTCACCACAAACACCTAATAAATTTCTTTTTACTTAAGACAAAGAGGAAAGTACTAGAGTGTTGACTGTTGTGGGTACTCGAGTTTCTTGAATAAAAACTAAAAAACCTGTTTTTTTTTTTTTATTTTTTAAACCTTGATTCTTAAAATTTTGTTATCTATAGAATTTCGGGTTTCTAAAAAATTCTCAATTTTTTTGATGTGATTTGAGGCTTTGAGCATCGCTTTTCTGCCATTTTTTGGGTCTGGGTGCTATAAGAATTATAAGAATCGGCATTGGGAAAATAAAAAAAAAAAAGTAAAAAAAGAAACGAGTTTTCATGGATCAGACTCGGTGTCAGCAGCAACAGATGAGTTCTTGCCTGACGCGGTTTCGATCCGCGCCAAGTTCATATTTTGACACCATTTTGAACGCCGCTCCGACGCCGCCTCCGGCCAACTCCGGCGGCGGTTATGCCAGGGATGACAATATGCTAAGCGCCGGCGGTTCAGGCCCCAACATACAGCAAGCTTTCGCACGATTAATAGCCACCATGGGGGGTGCCCGGGACTCGAGTTCTTGTAGCTCCGGCGGCGGTTCGGATGCGAAACCGCCGCTTGTGCCGCCGCCGAAGCAAGAACCCGAAGCTCGTCTGCAGCCACGGCAAGAGATGAAGTATTCTAGTCACTCCCAGCCTTTTTCTGGAGGGGATAATTCGTATGGATTGATGAGCCCAGTGAATCCGGGTTGTTTTGCCCCTGTAAAGATGAACACTGGCGTTTCCAACTCAAATCTCACTCGTTTTAACAGCTCCCCTGCTGGTTTCTTTGATCAATTCAATATAAAAAGTGGTATGTATATGTATATATGTATGTTTCTGCTCATTCTTTTCTACTGCATCATCTTCTTAATTAGCTCCTTTCACACTGTAAATATTTCCCTTTTCCCATTAACTGCAATTATACAGTTGATAATGGAGTTAATACCTTACTCAAATTAGTCTTAAATGACTTTTTGTGTTCAGTTCTGGACTTGGATGGTTTTACACAATTGAGTCATTTGTTAAAAATTCTGTTAGTTGATAGTTAGAAATAGGGTCATAATGGTAATTTCTCATCCTTCATCGAATGATTCTTTCTTCTTCTCCTTATTAAGATCCACGCGAAAATGCAAATTTTCGTACCCAAATCAACTTTAACCCTAAATAAATAAATACAGTACAGAGTAAATAAATATTTGAGTACGAAGATTTATATTTTTGCTCAAACCAAGAAGGTCAATAGGCTGCTCTCGAGAGTCAAAATTGTAACTCTGTGATTACAAGTCAACAATTCGACCAACTTGGTTCTTGGGGTTACCCGACTTTTTGTAATTTTGTGGTTACAAGTCAATATCCTGACCAATTTGGTTGGGGTTACCTATTGGGTGGTTATTTTGCATGATATTTCAGCAGGAGAAGTCTACAAGTTGAGATTTGACTTGATAGTTTTTTCCTCACAGGAACACTAATTTGGTTAAAGTAATAGTTTGAGAACATAATGTCACACTCTGAGGTTTATGGCAGTACACTCTGAGGTTTATAATCTTGTCAAGAATGAGGAGATCATTGTCTAGGCTATGGATTTTGCTCTTAGTTACTTTGAGCTGTTGCTAAACATGTCTCATCTGCAATTAACTAACAGAACATAGCGCGATGATCAGGTACTAATGCTGCAGAAGCATCATTTGCATCTCCAAACGTGTTCAAGAATCGCGTGGATTTGTCACCCAGACATCCCCCTTCGCGGGGAATGGCTTCTATATCTGAAACGGGAGCCAGTGCGGTGAAGGAAGAAGCCTGTTCGGGGGATGGCGTCGGGGGCTTCAATGAAGATCAGACAATGGATGAAAGTTACTTGTCAAGTTTCCCTATACCTTCTTGGGATGATTTAGATCTCTTGTCTGATGACTTCCTTAAAGTAACAGATGAAAAGCCAAGTTTGAAAGCAAAAGCACCAGATTTTAAGGTATATATATCATCTTTACCACTTTATAGATTTAATCTGTGGTTTATGGATCGTATAATAACATTTTGGTATATCAGAACACAGAAGGTAGTCGAAGTCGCCCTCCCGGCCGTTTATCTCATCACCTCAGTTTACCCAAAAGCTCCGAGGAGTTATCGTCCATATTGCAGGATTCTGTGCCTTGCAGGGTCCGGGCAAAGAGAGGTTGCGCTACTCACCCTCGCAGCATTGCCGAGAGGGTAAGGCGAGCTATTGCGTTTACTTCAATTTTTCACTTCGAGTAAACATATTCTCTTAGCCTTATTCTTTCCAATTTTCACCTCTATGACCAGTTGAGCTGTCTATGCAGGCTCTTAGCCCTATTCCATGTTAGGACTAGAATTGAACCGCGTTTTCTTACATGTCCAACTCAATCTACTTTAGGTTAGAAGAACTCGAATAAGCGACAGAATGAGGAAGCTGCAAGAGCTCGTCCCGAACATGGACAAGGTAAAACCTATATTTTATCAACGCGATATATCGTCGTAATGTATGGAAGGTTAAGTTACGCGTTGCGTTTCGATGTTTGACAGCAAACAAACACAGCAGATATGTTGGACCTGGCAGTGGATTACATTAAAGATCTAGAGCAGAAAGTGAAGGTTTATCTTATAAGTCAATTGTGTCACATTATTCCCACCATATTCTTAGACTAACACACTTTTTTTTTTATCTTTCCAGAGGTTAGCTGATAATCGTGCCAAGTGTAGATGCTCGAATAAGTAGTAGGGCAGGGATGTACCGATGAATGTAACGTGGAAAGTTGATGAACATTGTGGGATTCCTCCTGGCACTAAATTAATCACAGATCAAAAGAAGAAAATGGGATGGGAGTGCCACAAAAACAATTTCATTTGATGTAACATATGAAGCGCTGTTGAACATAAAAGCATTAATGTTTGTGTTGGGTGTACCCCTCTTTTTGTCCATAAATAATGAAAAGAATTTGGTAGGCTCGAGTGTCCTTTACACGCTATTTTTTATTAAAACGTTGTTTGCTGCTTAAATGCTTTTATTGCCCGATGCCGACGGGATAAGTTTGTTGTCTTTTTTAGGCCAGCTGTGTCCTTTACACACTCTTCAGTAGGCATGGCAACAAGCGGGGTAGAGAGTATACTCCCTGTTCCGCTCTTGAAATTCCGACCTTATCCCCATCTCTAACGGGGAATTGAAAATAGACCTCATCTTTATCCTCGTGGGGAATTAGGTGAGGACGGGATTTCCTGTCCCCGATTAACTCTTAGTCAAAAGTTTATACGGAGTACGATGATATGTGGGAAGAAAAGTTGAATTGTGAGGACCACACTTTCTTAATAATTTTACATCATCCTTTTAAGAATTGCAAATCAAGGGAATATTTTAGATTTTATATTACGTAGGCTATATTTGACAAACTTAGCTGAAAAGGTAATTGAAAGCTTAAAAGTAGTTGAAAGCTGAAAAGTTATAAGCTGGGAGCTGAAACTAAAGAGATGTTATTCTTGAAAGTGTTTGATAAAATTAGCTTTTTGATAAGCTAATAAATGTAAAAAGACAAAAAAAGAATATCATCATAAAATTTAAATTAGTTTGTTTACATATTAAAAGTTAACATTTTGTCTTTAAAAAAATTAACATTTTAAAATAATAATTGCGGTGAAAGTTGCGGGGAGAAGATAAAAATATTTTAATTGGGAAGGTTAAAGAATGTCATTTTTTAAAAATAATAAGGACAAAGATGAAAAAAAAAAAAAAAAATAGAAAGCTACTAGCTTATTTTGAAATGCTACTTAAGATAGCGTTTCAAAATAAGCTCTTATTTTAAGCTACGAGTTTATTTTGGGAACATTACCAAACAGAGCTTATAACTTATTAGTAGCTTAAAATAAGTTATAAGCTCTACCAAACACAGCTTTATTCGATTTCAATACCCTCATAAACAAAACATTAGAATAAAAATTGAGTTAATTCCATTTTTTTTCATAGATTTATAAGTAGCAATCCACTTTTAGTCCTTCTTTTTCAGAACATCCATTTTTTGTCCTAGTATTATTGTGGCATGACCATTTTTTGTCCTCTGTTAACAAAATTGTTGAAATATTGTTAAATACAAGACCATTTCGATCATTTTTATACAAAGTGGGTTAACCCGCTATATTTTTATTTTTAATTTTTTTTTTTTGAAAAAACTTCATAATTGAATACCTAAATGCCCTTGTATTTTAGGAAATTTAAACGGTTTTGTTGATGGAGGACCAAAATTGGTTATGCCACAATAATACTAGGATCAAAGAAGGATGATTTGAAAAGAAAGTACTAAAAGTGAAATATCAATTATAAATCTAGGACCAAAAATGGAATTAACTCAATAAAAATTGGTAATAATCCTTATCCCACCAACAAAATAATAGAATTTGAATTCTTACATTATTTACTTTTCATGAAAGAATTAATTCCATTTTTTGTCCTAGATTTATAGGTGTCAATCCCCTTTTAGTCATTTTTTATCATAATATTCATTTTTGGTCATAGTATTATTGTGACATGATCAATTTTGGTCATTTATCAGCAAAATTGTCGAAATCTGGTTAAGTTGAAGGATATTTTGATCTTTTTAATACAAAGTGTGTTGACCCGTTGTATTTTTATGTTTATTTTTTTTTATAAAATATTCATAATTGAAGAGCGAAATGCCATTGTATTTAATGAAATTTCAATTTTTTTTTATTGAGAACTAAAATTGGTCATGTCACAATAATACTAAGACTAAAAAGGAATATTCTGATAAAAAATTACTAAAGGTGAACTGTCACCTATAAATTTATGATGAAAAATGGCCCGCATGGGTAGCTCAACGGGTCATAGAGGTGAAACTTTGGAAGAATGACCAGGGATCGAGTCTCACCAGCGGCAGTGTGGGAGCAACCTCTCAAATACTCTGTCGGGCCGGAGTGAGCACCGGTCTAGCCTCTATGGTTCATGTTCATTTGAGTCACCATGATTTACATCCTCCCAAATACTTTGTCGGGCCGGGGTGTGGGGGGCCTCTATGGTTCATGTTCAGTTGAGTCACCATGATTTACATCCTCCCAAATACTTTGTCGGGCCGGGGTGTGGGGGGCCTCTATGGTTCATGTTCAGTTGAGTCACCATGATTTACATCCTCCCAAACGGGCCGGGGTGTGGGGGGCCTCTATGGTTCATGTTCAGTTGAGTCACCATGATTTACATCCTCCCAAACGGGCCGGGGTGTGGGGGGCCTCTATGGTTCATGTTCAGTTGAGTCACCATGATTTATATCCTCCCAAACGGGCCATGTTCAGTTGAGTCACCATGATTTATATCCTCCCAAACGGGCCGGGGTGTGGGGGGGCCTCTATGGTTCATGTTCAGTTGAGTCACCATGATTTACATCCTCCCAAATACTTTGTCGGGCCGGGGTGTGGGGGGGCCTCTATGGTTCATGTTCAGTTGAGTCACCATGATTTACATCCTCCCAAATACTCTGTGGGGGGCCCTTAAGGTCGGGGTTGAGCCTTTTGGAAAAATGATGAAAAATGGAATTAACTCTTTGATTAGATTACAATTCTTTTTAAGCTTAAATTCGTAGCTCGCAACCAACTCATAACTGATCAGTGGCTTTGGCCATTTCACTACTGATGAAATGATTGAATACTATGTTTGGTAACGCACTTTTTGTACTCGTGTAGGATAAAAACATGGAATTTTTTCTAAGTATAGAGTTTAATGATTGTGGTTAGGTTAGTGGCATTAAGTAGGTGGCCACAAACCTCAAACTTTTTCTTATCTTTTACTTCCTTTTTGGATATGATGGTGGTTGGCCTCGTATCCACGTTTATCGGAGCATTTCATCACCTCGCATCACACATTGACACATACGCAAAAGGCCGGTAATTTTGCGCACTGTACGTCCACGTGTAGGGATGATCATCGAGACTCCATTTTGATTTAATCTTGAAATTTAAAATTTTAGAAACTTTATAATTGATTGATCAATAATTCATAACGGATAAGTATTAAGTGATATCAATCACTTAAATGTAATATTAGTAATCCCTGTTACATTTTATCTATCTTACTTATTATTTATGGGTCAAACTAATTTTTTTTTTCTTTAGTATTATTTACATATTTTTAAATTTAATTTTTTTTTTTTTTTGTGTTTAATAGTACTTTTAGTGTAGTTTCTAAATATATCAATTTTGTATACTAATACTAAATTTAATATTATGAAAAAACTGAATTAAAAATAACTTTAGTCAAGCATCGTTAACCGAATCAGAGACACATAAAATGAGATAGAGAGAGTATATAATAAAACACGTTGTTATTCATAACTCATTGAGATCATTATCATGTTGTTAGAAACTAAATGTCATTTACTGTTAAGTTGAAAGACTATCCTAAGTGTTAGAAACTAAATGTTATTTACTGTTAAGTTGACTTTTTAAAACTATATAATCAAAATCGAACAAAAAATTAAAATATTATGAATCAGTCGTTTTTTGCACACCCCTATATACATATTCTCACTCTGTGAACAAAGTGACTAGCCAGGTTTGACCATGGTTGCGGCGGTGGGGTAGCCATGGGTTGTCGGTGGACCGCCGTGAAAACGGTGGGGTCCGGCTAGACGGTGGTGGTCGGGGGTGGAGGTGAGAATATATATGGGTATGGCATGGGTCATGTCATTTGTGGAGATTGAGGTGGGGTTTGCATAGAGATGTTTTTCGTATTTTCAATTTCTCAACCACCCCTTCTTAAAGTTGAAAAGGAAAGTTGAGTTTTTTTTTTTTTTTTTTTAATTTCCAATTTTTAATTTAAAAACAAAAGCAATTCATTGTAAGGAGACCTGTCTCTGATGAAGTCTTCAAATCTTGTTTAATTAGCTAATTTGATATTCCCATTCGAATTATGGAAAAAAAATTGAAATGCTTGGTGCATAAATAAATTTTGAAAAATAATTGTTGTAACAAGATATTCTTTCACCCTCGCCACAAATTACAAAGTCAGATTGATATATGTTGAGTGCAATCCAATTATTAGTTTAGCCTTTTAGTTGAGATGGAGCACATGCTTCAATTTAATATCAAAACTAAACCAAAGGTCACAGGTTCAAATCTCTACTCCATTACAGAAAATACGGTCTAGATGTTTTTTTTTTTTTTTTGGCTTTGAAATGCTAAAGATGGTGGTAAGATTATGCTCGATTGCATATGTATTGAGCTTTTATATAAACTATTAAACTATATCCTTCTCTTTTTTGTAATAGATGATGCACAATATATTTATCACCTATGTGTTCTACTTAGGTTGTTGTACTTGTTTTTACTTAAATGACTAATGTTATCTCAATTCTAATAGTTTCATCTAACCATTGAGTGTGTTGAGATAAAAATGAGAGCAAGAGATCACAAACAAATAGCAGAGAAACAAAGAAGAAGAAGGTTTATGTGATTTGACATAATGCTACTGTTGGAGCCTAAAATTGACTCGTGTGCGCTCGCGATTTAGATATACAAATTTCGTTCGAAAATTGGATTTTTAGAATTAATTTTCAGATTAAATTGTCTGTTATGAAGCTTACAAAATTGATTTTAAATTAGTTTTAGTGCCATGATTTATATGCTATTTAACCATCAGTCTCCTATGTATATAGCAAATAAGGTTTTAATAAGAATGTGAGTATCACACAACTCGAACTTAAACCACAACGTACCATTTTTATTTTTATTTTTTTGGTGTGTTTGTTATGGAATTATTTTCGTGATTATTTCCTACTAAAAGTATGTCCACTAGAGTGAAAGAGTTCTTTTATTAATTGTGATGATAAGACATCCAGGGTTACAAACATCATATTTATAGATAACCTTACTGGTACATTATATTTATAAATAAATTTAAAAAAAAAAAACCAGAATGTACCTTTCGCTTCACTTTGTTCGTTCTGCTTCACTTCTGATATGATA